GAAACGTCAGATCAGTCAAGACCCAACGGTCACTTTTACTGCACTACGTAATATCGCCATCAAATGGGCGGAGGAGGGTCGGAACCCAAGTAAACTAAGGCCCCGCGCCTTTTCTTGCACGGCGCACTCTGACTCTGGAAATACAACATTGGCACAAAGTAATGTAATGTCAGTACAACCCTCTACAGAACTTGGAGAATTAAAAGAATGCCTGCTAAAACAACAAGCACAGTTGGATGCCATTATGAAACACATTGGCCTCACCCATGACCCCCAAGCGCCCCCCAGGAAGGAAAGGGAACCCAAACCCTATCGCTTTGACTCAAATGGAAAACCCATTTGTTTGCGCTGCAATAAAGCTGGGCACATAGCACGCTTTTGTAGGTCTCAAATCCCACCCGCAAATACAAATAAGCATGTGTCTCAGGCAACAGTCAAGTGCAATGATGTAGCAGAGTCCCAAACATGGCTGCAGGAAAACTAGCGCCCTCTGGTGTGGAGAGCCAAACACCAGAAGGGGGGAGCTCAGGCTCAAGCAAACTAATCGGTGAATGCCCAGTTGTTGATGTTAAAATGGGAGGACTAGATGTCTCATGCCTACTGGATACAGGCTCAATGGTCTCCACAATAACTGAACACTACTTCATGGAGCACTTTAGGTCAAAGGGCGAGGATAAATTGAAGCAGTGCAACTGGTTACAGCTTAAGGCTGCAAATGGGTTATCCATTCCCTACATCGGGTATTTAGAACTCGATATCACTGTCCTGGGTAAACATCTTCCTCGTATGGGAGTCTTAGTGGTTAAGAGTCCCCTAGACCCTGATCTCAAAAACAAAAAAAGGTCAGTTCCTGGTCTGCTGGGTATGAATATAATCAGGCAATGTTACAATGAACTTTTTGTCCAATTAGGCCCCGAACTTTTTGAGTTTCCCCCAATTAAATCAGCTGGCCCGGCTTGGAAAGAGGCACTGACACAGTGCCAATCCATTGAGTCAATCAATGATGGATACCTGGGTATCGCAAAGGTTGTGGGGCGATCAGTGTGTGTACCAGCTGGCTCTTTAAAGTTTATCCCTGTTGTATGCCCAAACACTGCTAAGACCATACTGCCCTCAGTGTTGCTGGAGCCCCCAGAAGAAAACCGCCTCCCAGCGGGAGTGTTGGTGTCTAAATCTCTCTTGACTATGGACAGGGGAATAGTAGAGATACCAGTTGTGAATGTGGGCTGTCATGATGCCTGGCTAAAACCCCATATGGCTCTGGGCTCATTACATGTGGTGCAGACAAAATCACACCCAGTTCCAGTGACATTTGAAAATGAAGGGGGTGGCCACGTGGCAGTATTGCAAACTAACTATGTCACTGATGGCACAACCTTAGACTTTTCCGATGTGTCATGGCCTATCCTAACAGCAGAACAACAACGGCTGGGACAAGCTCTATTGGCTAAATATTCAACTGTTTTTAGCCAACGAGAAGGGGACCTGGGTTGTACCAATTTGGTTGAACATGAAGTACCCTTGTTAGACGATGTCCCCGTACGTCAGCGCTATCGGAGACTTCCTCCCTCCCAGTATGAAGAGGTAAAAGCCCATATTCAGGAGCTCTTGAATAGTGGAATTATTCAGCAGAGCTGCAGCCCATATGCGTCCCCCATAGTGATTGTGCAGAAAAAGGATGGGAGCATGAGGATGTGTGTGGATTATCGCCTCCTCAATGCTAAAACCAGGAAGGACGCTTATCCCCTGCCGAGAATCGAGGAGTCATTAGACTCCCTGGGGGGGGCCAAGTGGTTTTCTACACTCGATCTGGCGAGTGGATATAATCAGGTGCCCATTGCTGAAAAGGACAAGGCCAAAACTGCGTTTTGCACCCCATTTGGGCTTTTTGAGTTCAATAGGATGCCTTTTGGATTGTGCAATGCACCGAGCACATTCCAACGCTTAATGGAGCGCATTTTTGGTGATCAGTCTTTCCAATCACTCCTGTTATATCTCGATGATATCATTGTGTTCTCATCATCTTTTTTGGATCACTTACAGAGACTGGAACTGGTTTTAGCCCGTCTACAACAACACCACCTGAAACTGAAACTAAAAAAATGTTGTTTTTTCCAGAGCCAAGTCAAGTATTTGGGCCATGTTGTATCCTCAGAAGGTGTGGCTACCGACCCGGAGAAAATCAATGCGGTGGCACAGTGGAAACGTCCAACCACAGCCACAGAGGTGCAGTCGTTTCTTGGTTTTGCCTCATATTATCGTCGTTTTGTTGAGGGATTTTCAAAATTAGCTGCTCCCCTACATCGTCTGGTGTCTGACGTGGTTGGGAGCAAACATAAACCCAAAGGCCAGGCGAAGTCCTCCATTGCAGACAGATGGGATGATGCCTGTGAGCAGGGGTTTCAGTCCCTAAAAGAACACCTTGTCAGTGCCCCAGTTTTGGCCTATGCAGACTTTGTGAAGCCTTTTGTCCTTGAAATTGATGCAAGTCATGCAGGCCTAGGTGCAGTTCTATCACAAGATCAGAATGGGAAGCGAAGGCCTATAGCATTTGCCAGTAGGGGGCTCCGACCACCAGAGCGAAATATGTCAAATTATAGTTCCAGAAAACTTGAATTGTTGGCTCTCAAGTGGGCTGTAACTGACAAATTTAAGGAGTATTTGCTTGGTAATAACTTTATAGTTTATACTGACAATAACCCCTTGAGTTACCTAAAGACTGCTAGACTGGGAGCTGTAGAGCATCGTTGGGTGTCTGAGCTGGCTGCATTCAATTTTGAAATCAGATATCGCCCTGGCACAGCAAACAGAAATGCAGATGCCCTTTCCCGCCAGCACCCAGGTCCCCCCCAACCATTTGTTGGCCCTGGCATACAAGTTCCCATTACCGTTCATGAATCAGTCCACGCCACGTCTCACACCTTCCCCATAGTGGCGGCCATTCAAGCATGTCCGGCACGCGAAAAGGCTGATTTGGGAACTCTGCAAGAGGCGGACAAAGTACTTGGAATATTCAGATCATACTGGCAGCGCGTTAACCGCCCTTCAAAACAAGAACTGATGAGAGAGCCCAAAGAAGTCAAAAAACTTGCACAACAATGGCATAGACTTTGTATGAGAGAAGGTGTGTTATACCGCTGTTATAGACCACCAAAGACTAACAGTGAAGTGTTTCAGGTGCTGCTTCCAGAATGTCTCAAAGGAGAGGTGTTAAAACAGCTCCACGATGATCATGGGCACCAAGGGGTTGATCGAACCATTCAACTGGTGAGAGAAAGATGTTTTTGGCCAAACATGTGGAAAGATGTGGAAGAGTACTGCCGTAATTGCAATCGATGTTTAATGGCAAAGGCAAATCATCCCAAGATTAGAACATTCCCCTCTAACATTGTAGCATCACAGCCCTTGGAAATGGTAGCTGTAGATTTTACAAGGTTAGAAAAGGCCTCCGATGGCAGAGAAAATGTCCTGATCATCACTGATGTATTCTCAAAATTTACTCAAGCTTTTCCAACCTCCGACCAGAGGGCCAGCACCACCGCAAGAGTCTTAATAGAGAAGTGGCTATATGTTTATGGAGTCCCAAAACGCATACATAGCGATCAGGGAAGGAATTTTGAGAGTGACCTCTTAAAACAACTATGCAGAATGTATGGAATTGAAAAGACAAGGACCACACCCTACCACCCAGAGGGAAATGGACAATGTGAACGGTTTAACCGTACACTCAACGATTTGCTCCGTACACTTCCCCCGGAAAAAAAACGGAAGTGGCCCCAACAGTTGCCGCACCTCCTTTTTTCATACAATACAACAGAACATGCCTCCACCGGATATTCCCCCCATGAATTAATGTTTGGACAAAAGCCAAATCTGCCTGTCGACTTCCTATTGGGCACAGCTGTAAACGTTGACACTGGTAACATGAACGAGTGGATAGTGGAGCACCATTCCCGACTAGCAGCTGCACATGCACACGCAAGAAACCAGTTGGAAATGGCGGCCGAGCGCAGGAATAGACTGGTAGTCCCCAATGCGACAGAAATACTGGCCCCAGGTACACTTATTTTGAAAAGAAGCCATCCTCTGGGACGAAATAAGATTCAGGATGTGTGGGATAATACAATTTTTGAGATTGTGAACTGTTTGGATGATAGAGGTGCAGTATACAAAATAAGACCAGCAAACAAACTTGGTCCAGAGACAAATGTAAATAGAATGGAAATCAAAGTGTATCCTTGTATGTACCCAGTTCCAGAACCTCCATCACCCCAGCCATCTCCCCCACCACTTGTATCAGCGGGCAGCTCCATTTTGGACGACGAAAGTGATGTGGGCAGCGAACTAATGGTTGCCTGGACACCATTGCAACAGGCCCCTGGGCCTCCTCCGCCGGCCGCCCCTGGGCCTCCTCCGCCGGCCGCCCCTGGGCCTCCTCCGCCGGCCGCCCCTGGGCCTCCTCCGCCGGCCGCCCCTGGGCCTCCTCCACCAGCCGCCCCTGGGCCTTCTCCGCCGGCCGCCCCTGGGCCTCCGCCTGCAAGTCCCCCCTCTCAAATACGACGTTCAGCAAGACCAACTGCTGGACAGCACCCAAACCCCTTCAACCTGCCCCGTCCTGCCCATAGTCAGGCGGCCCTAGCCGCTCGGGTCAGAGGCCAGGATGTGTTTACATTCAGATCATGGAGGTGAAAATCTGAACTCTCACCGGGACGGTGAACTTTTAAAGTGGGGGTGAGTGTGACAGGGCAACAGGAAACAGGAAATGGTGGGAGGGGCAAAGATTTCAAAATGGGGGGAGAGGGAAATCAGGGCCTTTCACTCAACCCACACCATGCAGTGAGCATGAGGGCAGCTGAGCCAGGGGGAACAGCGCAGTCTTAAAAGGTGAATATCACACATGAACTGTTTATAGAACTATATAGTGTGTAGATAATCGCACAACTCTCTCTGTAGGTGAAGTAAGCCAAGTGGAGAGTCCACAGCTTCATGTGGTGTTAGCCATGTTTGGGAGGGGTGTCTGGAGAATCAAAGGTGAATAAACTGTCATTGATAAATAGGTTATTCTGTGTATTAACTTGAATCAAATACAATCTTTGACCATAGGTTAAGTTACCTGCAGGCCTCTTTATCCCGCGTGGGGGATCAAATGCACGGCACGCGAGCAAGCGCCTGTTTCAACAGCATCCATTTGAATACATTACTTTTAATACTCTCCATGGAATAAATATTGATGTTGTACTACCCCGGGCCTAGGGCGCCAAACATGCTCAATCAATAAACATGCTTAAATCTAATAAGTCTAATGCGTTTCCTCATGGGTCTCTCCAAGGTGAACATCTACGAGAACTTTGGAAAAAAAAAAGACAAAGTCGATACAATCTGTAACTGATATCTTTAATAAAAACTAGATTCAGAACTAAAGTCATGGTAAGAATGGTCTCTGGAAGGAATCAACTTAACAAAGACATTAAAGAGTCAAAATAAAAATCATGGTTTTTAAGAAACAACAAAACTACTATACTCAATAAATATGAGAGTGTTACATAATAAGAAAATCTGGATTTTAATTAATGGTTTGTGTTTTGGTAAAATGTTGTACATAATGTTTAATTACTGGTTTGTGTTTAGGTAAAATGTTGTACATAATGTTTAAGGTATGTAATATGGTTGTTTAATCAGTCTTTAAGATGACTATTTTATGGTAACAAGTGTCAATTGTATATCTGAGAGATGTACGCCTTTAAATCATTTGATCTCGCGTAAAAGAAAACCTGTACCAAGGACCCTAGTTTCACATCTACCTACTCTGTTTCAAACTGTGTACATATATGTATCTAGGGTTCTTATTTTTATTGTATTGGACAATTAAATTGATATAGAGACTACTACCTTATGAATAGGGTTAGGATTATAACGCATTAATTACGATTGATAAACGCCACAAAAATATATGTGTTTTTGCTCCACGGAACCTTTGTCATCAGGTGAGTTTCACACGGGTCGTTCATACTGGTGTACCAGTTGGAAAATAACAACTATCCCCCTATTGTTTTAGTGCAACACTCTGGGCCACATGATAAGGTTAACACACACACACACACACACACACACACACACACACACACACACACACACACACACACACACACACACACACACACACACACACACACACACACACACACACACACACACACACACACACACACACACACACACACCTACACCTACACACACACACCTAAGTGTCGGTCTTTCAGAGTTCGGGTGCAGTACCTCTTGTTACAGAAAAAATAAAAAAACACCTATACAATACAATTTAGTCTTGTATAGCCCTAAATCACAACTGTAGTCATCTCAGAGGACTTACCAAAAACTACTGAAAATCACCAACACAGATCGGAGAATCAGCAGTTAAAACACATAAAGACTATAGACCACTACATGTTGTAGAATATTAAAAGTGTCCTGGCTCATCACCACAGTCCTTCTAGTTTCTCAATAACTGTGTAACAAACCATCCTGCATCAGCAAGGAAAAACTCATATGAAAAAAAAAAGTTTGAGATCTTTGAGGAGTAGGCATTGCTGGTTTGGTGTAGAAAAAAAAGTTATTCTTATGTGTAATCAGAGGCCTATATAGGGCCACCTTAAACAGAGCAACCTATCACAAACCCTCCTCAGTCTGATAGGACGGTGTAAACAGACCTCCCACCCATTCTGATTTGTTGTTAGTACGACCTCCCAACCGTCATCATGATAAGGCTATCACACACACACACCTAAGTGTCGTTAACAGGTCCTCCCCTGCAGCTTAGCTATTCCTAACTGTTTTAGAATAAACCGTGATCATAAATCACTTTAGACAACTGTGAAGCATTTACTTTATCACACACACACAGGGTCAACTGAAGCTAACTCATTAAAACTCTTTGAAAAAAAAGTGCAGTAACACTTTTTCACCACTTGCTCAAGAGCGCCGTCTCTTTTCTGGGGAGTTTTAGGGTGCAGTACCACCTTTTCACCACTTGCTCAATATCGCCGTCTATACTATCTACTACTAACATTATCCCAGACAATCACAAACCTGAGCTGCTCTGGTCTGTCCCGTTCAAGTGCATCATGAAGTGCATCTAGAAATGCTAGTATTTGCTGTGTATTGTAGGGGCCTAGGTTGGCATGATGATGTAGTAACCCTCGAAGGCTTATGGCGGCACACAATGTGATGTTTCCCCCGCGTTGCCCTGGGACATGCACAATTGCCCTTTGACCAATTATGTTACGACCCCGTCGTCTAGTTTTGTTGAGGTTGAAACCAGCTTCATCAATGTAGATGAATTCATGTAGTTGTACAGCTCCATCCATGTCCAAGATTCTCTGCAACAACAAAATACATAGCATGAATGGCTGGCATTACTCAAAACACAGTACTACACACAGAGTCACACCCCTCCCTACAACACAAACACACCAGTGCCTTTTTCCCTCTTTGCATGTATGTGGTACTGGTACAATGGCACAGCTATTACTGTAATGAATTACATAAATTGCAATACAGTAAAAGACTGCAAAACTTACTTGTACATATTCTTGTCGAAGTCTTATGACCCTGACACTGTTCCTCTCAAATGGGACCCTGTACAACTGCTTCATTGTCAGTTGGTGCTTTGCCAAGACACGTCCAATCGTGGTGAGGCTTACTTCATTGATGTTTACGAATACTTGCCCATCTGCAATAATCTTTTGTTGTAGCTGGCGGAGAGAGATTGCGTTGTTTTCTCTGACAATATCTACAATGGCAAGTTCCTGCAGTTGAGTGAACATGTGTTGCCGACCCCCTCCAAAAGGTCCTCTAGTCATTCTGTAGAAATATGCAACCACAAATTGTTACTACGGGTTTAGTTATTTTTTACAGCACTGTATACTGTTCACAGTACTGTGACATCTCAATGGTACAGTGCTATGTACCAAGCCAACTTGAAATACAGTACATGTGATACGGTAAAGTACTGTAAATACTGTAGATGCTGTAAATACAGTAAAGAGTTGGAGACATACCTGTTTTCCAGTCTGAAGGTCCTTATGATGGATGCAACTGTGAACCGGCTCAGGTGTGGGTGGACTCTCTGGCCAGCTTCCCTCATTGTGAGGCCATGATTGATGACATGATCAACCAATGTTGCTCTAATATCATCAGATATAATGTTTCGTACATGGCCTCTTCGACCACGTCCTCCTCCTCTTGCTCCTTGTCTTAATCTTCCTTTACCTCTACCTCTTGCTGTTCCTGCCTCCTCCATACTTGCAAAGTTCTAAAGAAGGCTGAAATGAGGCCCATTTATGTATGACTGATGTGTGTCACGTTTTGTAAGTAAGTGTTTTCAGGTGTGTGTCTGAGTGTTTTCAATCACACAGTGTGTTTGGTATTTTGAATAGATGTGTTTTCCCAATGATAAACACAGGATTGCATTTATGAACAAAGTGTCTTATGTATGACACAGTGTGTAGTGAGCATGAGAAAGTGTGTTGCAGAAAGAGAAAGTGTGTTGCAGAAAGAGAAAGTGTGTTGCAGAAAGAGAAAGTGTGTTCCAAAAGGAGAAAGTGTGTTGTAGAAATGAAAGTAGAGTGCAAAGCAGTACTTTTGTTTAAGCAATGGTCAGTCTGTGTTTTAGGTTTAGAACAAAAGTTTCAGGTTCTGTAACTTTGGTCTAAGCGTCTGTCTATAGTGTTCAAGCAGTAGGAAAAAACTGTAACAGGTGGGAGGGGTTAACTTGGGACAGTGCACATTCATCAACATGTGTTTTTAACATGTAAATGTGTCAGAGTTAGCCATGTAGGCTAATTTTCATCCGTAGTCCCATGGCAGGTTGATATTAAGACAGATAAAGCATACAACAGGCACACACAGACACACACATACAAACCCACACAGAGACACACACCATCACAGAGACATAACAAAACAGGGTATGTAACATTTGGTAAAATATGTAAAATAGATACATTAGCACAGATAAAAGATCAGAGGGACAATACACAAGACACCACAGTTTTCCATACAGCAAAGTATCAATGGTTGTGACTTTAAACCATGTGTTCACATTTTTGATTGTCCACAAGCCACTTCTTGACAGAGTTTTTAAAAGTGTGGATTGAGGTCAGGGGCCTCAGTTCTGTTGGGATCGAGTTCCAGGAATGTGCTGCGCGAACTGAGAAGGCAGATTGTCCAAATAAAGTCTTTCTGAATGGGATTTTACAATCTCCTCTGCTTGATGATCGCGTATTTGAGTTTACATTCAGCTGTAGGAACTCCTGCAATGGGGGGGGGGGCAAGCCCATTTAGAATTTTATAGACCATAATTACGTCTGAATACATTATCAAATTTTCCCACTTCAAAAAATGATGTTTGGTAAAGACTTTGCAATAGTGATAAGAAATGTTCTTTTTGTCTAATGTTTTTACTGTCTGCTTATACAGTCTTTCTATGGGCAACAATGTGGTCTTATTGGCCTGAGACCAACTCGTCACACAGTAATTAATATGATACAGCTTTGAAGCCTCAGTTGTTAAGTTATTTCTAATGTGTTTAAAATTCACTAGATTGAATTGAATTTTGTTCCTCAATTTCTTAACATGTTTTTTAAATGATAATTGAGAATCCATGGTGATGCCTAAATACTTGTACTCTTGCACCACCTGTAGTGCTTGCCCATCCACCATAACTCTGGGATCACTCTCTTTGGTTGCCGACTTAGAAAAGAACATGCACATAGTTTTACTTGTGTTCAGGTGTAGTTTTGAATTTTTTAACCAATCACAGACTGACACCATTGCAGATGTCAGCTTCTCTGCTGCCAGTTGCTTCGTTTTAGCTTGAACATAAATTATGGTGTCGTCTGCATATAACTGACATGATGCTTCTGAACACACATCAGGTAGATCATTAATAAATAAACTAAATAGTAAAGGGCCAAGGGTTGAGCCCTGAGGCACACCTATATGATTATATTTTACCTCAGATGTTTTATTGTTAACCCTGACACACTGTTTTCTGTCTTTTAGGTATGATTCCACCCATTGGAGAACCTTTGGTGAAAAATTAAATTTAGATAATTTGGAAATTAATATGTCTGAGTTGACAGTATCGAAGGCTTTTCTGAAGTCGAGGTAGATAGCCCCAACTATGCCCCCTCTGTCGAATTTTGCTTTGATATTCTCTATAAGATAAATGTTTGCAGTATCGGTAGAATGAAATTTACGAAATCCAAATTGCATAGGATGCAACTTAAATGGTGAATAATTCAAATGAGAGATGATTTGCTCTGAGATACATTTTTCCAATACTTTTGATATCATCGGGAGAATGCTTATTGGTCTGTAGTTGTTTATATTCATTTGTTCACCAGATTTAAAGATGGGTGTAATTACAGCAGTTTTCCAGGCGGTGGGGAATAGTCCTTCAGTGATTGACCAATTTATTAATTTACATAAGGATGGGATTAATGATTCCCTATTTGATTTTAAAAACAGGGTATCAATACCATAGATATCCTTTGCCCTTGACGACTTGATAGATGAGATTATTGTTTCTATCTTTGACTGTGTCACTTCCATGAATGTCAATATGGGAGCATTGGTATTTACGGCTTCAACTTTAAAATGTGATTGGTTATAGGTGGTTGTCAATTTTTGTATGGATGTAACAAAATGATTATTGAGAGCATTGGCGACCACACTTGCATCCTCATATATAGTTTCCTCTATTTTCAATTTTATTGGTTTGTTTCCTTTAGCATTTTTTCCCGTTAATTTGTTTAGATTCTGCCATATTTCCTTCGCATTCCCCTTTGAATTGTTCATAACATTAATGAAAAAGGAAGCTTTTGCATTTCTAATCAGTTTTGTGACTTTATTTCTCAAAGCCGTAAACAATCGCCTATCGTTATCTTTCTTACTTTTAAAAGCTACTTTGAGAGCATGATCCCTTTGTTTCATAAGAGACCAAATATCTCCATTTAACCAGGGCAAGTTATTTCCCTTTCCTGGTTTGCATTTGATTTTCTTACTGAAGCTATTTATAATTGTTTTGAGTCGATTCATAAAGAGACTGCAGCTGTTTTGTAGAAAATTTTCCTGAACATACTGAGCCCAATCAGTCTCCCTAATTGTTTGTTCAAGCAGAGGTAATTGGTTTTTTGGAATTTTTAGTTGTTCTTCTTTCATATTTGACACTGCATTTATTCTAGTTCTCAATTTCCTTATAAGGAGTATCATGTTATGATCTGACAATCCAGTTGCTAGATTGTAGCTCTTCTTGATTCGATCTGGCCTGTTAGTGAGAATCAGATCAATGAGCGTTTCAGATGTATTGGTGATTCTGGTTGGTCCCTCAATAATCTGGTTAAAATCATATCTACATAAAATGTTTTTTAATTCTTTCCTTTTTACTTTATCGATCCAATTAATGTTAAAATCTCCTATTAATATTATTTCATTACGTATATCACATTGCTTTATCAAAAGGTTTAACTTCTCATAAAAACTTCTCACGGTATTTTGCAGATTGAAATACCGTGATGTATGTAATGCGCTACCAGTTAGCATTTAGCTTAGCCCGTGGGGAGTGGCGCTACAAAATCTTTGCAAGCGATTACATTTGATAAACATTTCTTTTGCTCTGGCTTCAATTTCTTGATAGAACCAGAATGTATTACTTTACAATCACATTCTTCGCCATTGTCAAACTACAACCTGCCAATTTGGTGCAAACTCTTGACTTCACCGACACCGACCTACAACACCCGCCTCTCACGCTCGCTGATTGGTTGGATGGGATTCAACCGATGTAATGGCAGACACTGGGATCAGACCCAGATGATAAATGTAGCGAAACAATAATTGACGGGAGTTTACAGTCGGCTAAGGCCAGGTTAGGGTCTTTGTCCTGCTGGAAGGTGAATCTTCGCTCCAGCCTCATTTCTCCTGCTGACTCGAGCAGGTTTTCCTTCAATATGTCCCTGTATTTGGCTCCATCCATCTTTCAAGCTACACTCTTTCCAGTCCCTGCTGAAGAAAAGCATCCCCCATAGCATGATGCTCCCCCCCAACACACTTAACACTGGGGATGGTGCGATGAATAGTGTTTGAGTTTGGGCCAAAATTTCAATGTATGTCTCTTTCTGACCTTCCACATGAACCTGTGTGCCCCATGGTACTTCTGGCTAACTTCAAACGGAATTTCTTTTGGCCTCCTCTCAACAATGGCTTTCTTCTTGCCGCTCGTCCATGAATGCCAGACGTGTGTAGAGTACGACAGTTGTCCCATGTACAGACTCCCTCAGCTCAGCGGCAGTACTTCGCAGCTGCTCCAGACTCATCTTGAGGCTCTTGGCTCTCCTTGTTCGATCTGTTAGTTTGGTCGTGTCTTTGTAAGTTCACAGTGGTGTCCCAGTCTTTTCATTTCCAAATATTTATTTATTTACTCAGAGGATATGCCCCTTGAAAAGAATCATCTCGTTTTCAAGAGGGTCCTCAAGATTCCACAAGATGACAGATATACAGCAAAACAGATGTAAAAAAACCAAACATTAAAATCATTACAAAAACAGAAAAAACTGCACACATAAGAATGGACAGAACGGTGCGATGTTCAAATCTTGGGAAATCTTGGTACAACTTAATGCTTTTTTAAACTTCTCTAAACTACTTTAAACTACTTTATCCCTGACCTCTCTGGTGTGCTCTTTAAACATCCACATCTTTCTGGTGTGGATGTTTCAGAGTCCTGAATGTCTCTGAAACAGTTGTTGTTTTCTGCAGTACAGTGTTCATGGTTTTACTCTGGTCCGGACCAGAGCAGAGAGGATTCATGGTCCAAACCAAGTGGATCAGGTGAAAATCCACTGAAGGAATGCTAACTTTTAGAAAAAGGCTGAAGAAGCATTTAGCATTTTACTTTGGACCAGAGCAGAGAAAATGGTCCGAACCAAGCGGCTACTCCACCTTTTGTCCAGTCCTGCTCCACCCAGAGGCTACTCCACCTCTGCTGCTGTGACCTGTCCTGCTCCACCCAGAGGCTACTCCACCTCTGCTGCTGTGTCCTGTCCTGCTCCACCCAGAGGCTACTCCACCTCTGCTGCTGTGACCTGAAGGGCTGTTGGTGATTATTACTATTTTTATTTATTTTATTTTTTTGCTACTACTGGCCAACTGAACTTTTCCTACGGGGATCAATAAAGTATCTATTTAGCCTCATGATATTGTTTAGTGAGTTCACGCGACGCATGCTCAATTTTACGATTCCCCAAAAACCAACTGAAGCTGTGGGAAAAGCTGTGCAGTTCTGATAAAACATTTTGTCTTAATTTTACAGACGGTTAACTTGAACATGTATTCAAGTTAACTTGTAACTAATGCTAACCTGTAAACAGTGCGCGGCCGAGCCTTTAATTGTGGCTTGTATTTTATTTATTTGAGAGATAAAGGAGGAACAATGCATATTAAATAACATTTTACAAATGTTCAAATATAACAGAAAACGGACAATCATAATAATAGTATTAAATGTCCCAACTACATCATGTTATTTTTGACAGCACAGCAAAAAGGAAAAAGGCCCAATGTGAAGCTGCAGTGAGTGTGAAGTGGAGATGGAGCTAACGAACAGATAGAAAACTGATCATTCATAAACATTGGCTAATAACCAAAGCAGCAAAGATATCATCAATGTATTTGCATGGGAATAGTGGTTCTATATTGTCTTTCTGATGCATAGCAGTGGATTAAAAACATTGAGTTTGAACTCGGCCCTGCAGCTTTCTCATCTCCCCGTCATAAAGAAACTTCAGGACATGGCCAGAGTTCACAGATAATTCCGACCGCTCACTCCATTTTTCTGTCCCAGAGACAAAATGTGTCCAAAACAACACAGAAAAATCCATCAAGGAGGAAGAAGTCTGCGATCTCAGCGCCGTACAACAGGCACGTGTGGTTTGTTTGTATCCGCGGGTGGAAATCTCACACTTGCGCTTTCCAGCCCTATACGCCTGTGTCTACACCTGTGTCTACGCCTCTGTGTACGCCTTTGTCTACGCCTGTTTCTACGCCTCTGTCTACGCCTGTTTCTACGCCTGTGTCTACGCCTGTGTCTACGCCTGTTTCTACGCCTGTGTTTACGCCTGTTTCGACGCCTGTGTCTACGCCTGTTTCTACGCCTGTGTCTACGCATGTTTCTACGCCTGTTTCTACGCCTGTGTCTACGCCTCTGTCTACACCTGTGTCTACGCGTGTTTCTACGCCTGTGTCTACGCCTCTGTCTACACCTGTGTCTACGCCTGTGTCTACACCTCTGTCTACGCCTGTTTCTACGCCTGTTTCTACGTCTGTGTCTATGCCTGATCCTACGACTGTGTCTACGCCTGTTTCTACACCTCTGTCTACGCCTGTTTCTACGCCTGTGTCTACGTCTGTGTCTACGCCTGTTTCTACGCCTATGTCTACGCCTGTTTCTACGCCTGTTTCTACGCCTCTGTCTACGCCTGTGTCTACGCCTGTTTCTACGCCTGTGTCTACGCCTGTATCTACGCCTGTTTCTACGCCTCTGTCTACGCCTGTTTCTACGCCTGTGTCTACACCTCTGTCTACACCTGTGTCTACGCCTGTTTCTACGCCTGTGTCTTCCTCTGTCTACACCTGTGTCTACGCCTGTGTCTACACCTCTGTCTACGCCTGTTTCTACGCCTCTGTCTACACCTGTGTCTACACCTGTGTCTTCGCGTCTGTCTACACCTGTGTCTACCCCTGTGTCGTCGCCTATGTCTACGCCTGTGTCTACACCTGTGTCTACGCCTGTGTCTACACCTGTGTCTACGCCTGTGTCTATGCCTGTTTCTACGCCTGTGTCCAAGCCTGTTTCTATGCCTGTTTCTACACCTGTGTCTACGCCTGTTTCTACACCTGTTTCTACGCCTGTTTCTACGCCTCTGTCTACGCCTGTTTCTACGCCTGTGTCTATGCCTGTTTCTACGACTGTTTCTACACCTGTGTCTACGCCTGTTTCTACGCCTGTTTCTACGCCTGTTTCTACGCCTGTGTCTACGCCTCTGTCTACACCTGTGTCTACGCCTGTTTCTACGCCTGTGTCTACCTCTGTCTACACCTGTGTCTACGCCTGTGTCTACACCTGTTTCTAAGCCTCTGTCTACGCCTGTGTCTACGCCTCTGTCTACGCCTCTGTCTACGCCTGTGTCTACGCCTGTTTCTACGCCTGTGTCTACGCCTGTTTCTACGCCTGTGTTTACGCCTGTTTCTACGCCTGTTTCTACGCCTGTTTCTACGCCTCTGTCTACACCTGTGTCTACGCCTGTTTCTACGCCTGTTTCTACGCCTGTGTCTACCTCTGTCTACACCTGTGTCTACGCCTGTGTCTACACCTGTTTCTACGCCTCTGTCTACGCCTGTGTCTACGCCTGTTTCTACGCCTCTGTCTACGCCTGTGTCTACGCCTGTTTCTACGCCTGTGTCTACGCCTGTTTCTGCGCCTGTGTTTACGCCTGTTTCGACGCCTGTGTCTACGCCTGTTTCTACGCCTGTGTCTACGCGTGTTTCTACGCCTGTGTCTCCGCCTCTGTCTACACCTGTGTCTACGCGTGTTTCTATGCCTGTGTCTACGCCTCTGTCTACACCTGTGTCTACGCCTGTGTCTACACCTCTGTCTACGCCTGTTTCTACGCCTGTTTCTACGTCTGTGTCTACGCCTGATCCTACGCCTGTGTCTACGCCTGTTTCTATGACTGTTTCTACGCCTGTGTCTACGCCTGTGTCTACGCCTGTTTCTACGCCTGCGTCTACACCTGTGTCTACGCCTGTTTCTACGCCTGTGTCTTCCTCTGTCTACACCTGTGTCTACGCCTGTGTCTACACCTCTGTCTACGCCTGTGTCTACGCCTCTGTCTACACCTGTGTCTACACCTGTGTCTACGCGTCTGTCTACACCTGTGTCTACCCCTGTGTCGTCGCCTATGTCTACGCCTGTGTCTACACCTGTGTCTACGCCTGTGTCTACACCTCTGTCTACACCTGTGTCTACGCCTGTTTCTACGCCTGTGTCTAAGCCTGTTTCTATGCCTGTTTCTACGCCTGTGTCTACGCCTGTGTCTACGCCTCTGTCTACGCCTGGGTCTACGCCTGTTTCTACGCCTGTGTCTATGCCTGTTTCTACGACTGTTTCTACACCTGTGTCTACGCCTGTTTCTACGCCTGTGTCTACGCTTCTGTCTACACCTGTGTCTACGCCTGTTTCTACGCCTGTGTCTACCTCTGTCTACACCTGTGTCTACGCCTGTGTCTACACCTCTGTCTACGCCTGTTTCTACGCCTGTGTCCACGCCTCTGTCTACACCTCTGTCTACACCTGTGTCTACACCTGTGTCTACCCCTGTGTCTACGCCTGTGTCTACACCTCTGTCTACGCCTGTTTCTACGCCTGTGTCTACGCCTCTGTCTACACCTGTGTCTACACCTGTGTCTACGCCTCTGTCTACACCTGTGTCTACCCCTGTGTCTACGTCTGTGTCTACACCTGTGTCTACGCCTCTGTCTACACCTGTGTCTACGCCTGTGTCTACCCCTGAGTCTACGCCTGTGTCTACCCCTGTGTCTACGCCTGTGTCTACACCTGTGTCTACACCTCTGTCTACGCCTGTTTCTATGCCTGTTTCTACGCCTGTGTCTACGCCTCTGTCTACACCTGTGTCTACACCTGTGTCTACACCTGTGTCTACGCCTCTGTCTACCCCTGTGTCTACACCTGTGTCTACACCTGTGTCTACGCCTCTGTCTACGCCTCTGTCTACGCCTGTGTCTACGCCTGTTGTCTACGCCTGTTTCTACGCCTGTGTCTACGCCTGTGTCTACACCTGTGTCTACGCCTGTGTCTACCACTGTGTCTACGCCTGTGTCTACACCTGTGTCTACCCCTGTGTCTACGCCTGTGTCTACCCCTGTGTCTACGCCTGTGTCTACCCCTGTGTCTACGCCTGTGTCTACACCTGTGTCTACACCTCTGTCTACGCCTGTTTCTATGCCTGTTTCTACGCCTGTGTCTACGCCTCTGTCTACACCTGTGTCTACACCTGTGTCTACACCTGTGTCTACGCCTCTGTCTACCCCTGTGTCTACACCTGTGTCTACACCTGTGTCAACGCCTGTGTCTACGCCTCTGTCTACGCCTGTGTCTACGCCTGTTGTCTACGCCTGTTTCTACGCCTGTGTCTACGCCTGTGTCTACACCTGTGTCTACGCCTGTGTCTACCACTGTGTCTACGCCTGTGTCTACACCTGTGTCTACCCCTGTGTCTACGCCTGTGTCTACCCCTGTGTCTACGCCTGTGTCTACACCTGTGTCTACACCTGTGTCTACACCTCTGTCTACGCCTGTGTCTACACCTGTGTCTACCCCTGTGTCTACGCCTCTGTCTACGCCTGTGTCTACACCTGTATCTACGCCTGTGTCTACGCCTGTGTCTACACCTATGTCTACACCTGTGTCTACACCTGTGTCCTCTTGTGGTCGGTCCGTTGTTGTTTTTCCCCCATGTCTTGTTCCCGGTTTCAGTTTTCCTTTGTTGTTGTACTATTAGATTATTCTCGTTATTCTGCTTTTGGGTCCTTCTTTGTTTATCCGTGACTACAAATCTGTATGATGTAAACAAGCCCAACTTCTCACTTTTATATATTCGAAATAACAAAAGAATCATGTATCATTTTGCTTTCACTTCATAGTTGTCTGTTACTTGTGTGAACTTTCAGTAAAAGTTATAATCTAATTAAAGTATTTATGTTTATGGTTGGACGTGTAAAAGTTCAAGCTGTATTAATACTTTAGAGAAGCACTTTATTTAGCGCTTTTTGTGGACACTCAAAGACGGATAGACCTGGTTTACACTTGGTTTAGTCTTTATTCAGTCCTGGTTTAGTCCTGGTTTGGACCTGGTTCAGTCCTGGTTTAGTCCTGGTTTACTCTTGGTTTCGTCCTGGTTTAGACCTGGTTTAGTCCTGTTTCAATCCTGGATTAGTCCTGGTTTAGTCCTGGTTTAGTCCCGGTTTAGTCCCGGTTTAGTCCTGGTTTAGTCCTGGTTTAGTCCTGTTTCAATCCTGGATTAGTCCTGGTTTAGTCCTGGTTTAGTCCCGGTTTTGTCCTGGTTTAGTCCTGTTTCAATCCTGGATTAGATCTGGTTTAGTCTTGGTTTAGTCCCAGTGTAGTCCTGGTTTAGTCCTGGTTTAGTCCCGGTGTAGTCCTGGTTTAGTCCTGGTTTAGTCCTGGTTTAGTCCCGGTTTAGTCCCGGTGTAGTCCTGGTTTAGTCCTGGTTTAGTCCCGGTGTAGTCCTGGTTTAGTCCTGGTTTAGTCTTTATTCAGTCCTGGTTTAGCACTGGTTAAGACCTGATTTAGTCCTGGTTTAGTCCTGGTTCAGTCCTGGTTTAGACCTGGTTTAGTCCTGGTTCAGAGCTGGTTTAGACCTGGTTCAGTCCATGGGTAAGTCCTAGCTTGGACCTGGTTCTAACAAAACAATCGGACACAAAAGATTGAGACGAGAAGACTTTATTCAACAAATGACAGAAACACAGTTCAGACCCAGTCCTGGCCCAGTTCAGACCCGCTCCCGCCACCCGTCCCGACCCAGTCCAGACATAGTCCTGACCCAGTCCAGATCCAGTTCAGATTCAGATTCATTTATTTGCCATTTGCAGTAAAACCACATTGGAAAAACTGTGCAAGACTACCCCAGTGTGCACTAGACCCAGTCTTGACCCAGTCTAAACCCAGTCCAGACCTAGTCCAGAACCAGTTCAGTCCTGGTCCACGACAGTCTCTGTGGAGCTGACCACTACTCCATCTACTACCTCCTCAATGATCGTCACTACTTTCTGTTTTGTTTGTCTGGTTTTGGTCGGAGCTGAAGACCCAGAGTCAGTCCCAGTCCCAGAGTCAGTCCCAGTCCCAGAGTCAGTCCCAGACCCAGAGTCATTCCCAGTCCCAGTCCCAGTCCCAGTCCCCGTCCCAGTCCCAGTACCAGACCCTAATCCATCCCCAAACCCAGACCTGAGTCCTGAGGAAGAGGAGGAGGAGATGGTCATGGAGGAAGAGGAGGAGGAGCTGTGGAGACAAAAGAGTGTGTGTGAGTATGTCAGAACCAGAATCTTTTTATTGCCATGTGAGTAACAAGAAATCACAAACTAGGAAATTGCTTTGGCTCTAGGTTCAAACAAGTTAAAGCAGAATAAAATCAAGAAGGCATGTAAAACATAAAAATCTATATAAATGTCTTCAGTTTACTATTTACAAGTGCCCTAGGTGCACACAATAGACCCTTAAGAGTGCGGTAGAGGGACAGTAGCATAAAGTGAGGGTCATAAGGTCAGAGGTCAGAGGTGGATTATAAAGTGTTCATGAGTCCAACAGCAGAGGGGAAGAAACTATTCTTGTGGCGGGAGGTTCTAGTCCTGATGTACTGTAGTCTCCTGCCTGAGGGGAGAGGTTAGAATAGTCCAGGTGCAGGGTGAGTGTGTGCAAGTGCGTGTGTGAGTGTGTGCTTGAGTGTTCATACAGAAGGGGAGGAAAGATAGTAAGAACATGTACCTGCCCATCCCCTCTCCGTCCAGCAGGCGGCGGTATTCTGCAATCTCCATCTCCAACCGAGTCTTGATGTCGAGAAGAATGCTGTACTCCTGCCCCTGTCGCTCTGAGTCAGCTCTAAGAGAGACCAACTGCTCCTCCATAGCAGAGACCTGTGAGAGTCACCATGGTAACGTCAGGTCTGAAAGTTATGTACCCAGGTATTAAAGTTACATTCTAACTTTATTCTAACTTGGATTAGTTAAATGTTCAGCAGCTCTCGGCCCAAAGAGGCACATGGTGTTTGAAGGAACACACCTTGTTCTGGAAACTGTTGAGCTTCTGGCTGTAGGAGTTCTGTGTTTCTGCCAGGGTTCCTTCCAGAGAGGCTTTCTACAACAACAACCACATCATCAACAGAGACCAGAGAGAGACCAGAGAGAGACCAGAGAGAGAGACCAGAGAGACCAGAGAGACCAGAGAGAGACCAGAGAGAGACCAGAAAGAGACCAGAGAGAGAGACCAGAGAGAGACCACAGAGAGACCAGAGAGAGACCAGAGAAAGACCAGAGAGAGACCACAGAGAGCCCACAGAGAGACCAGAGGGAGACCAGAGGGAGACCAGAGAGAGACCAGAGAGAGACCAGAGAGAGACCACAGAGAGACCACAGAGAGACCAAAAGACCAGAAATAAGAGAGATCAGAGAGAGATCAGTGAGAAGCCAGAGAGACTAGAGAGATCCGAGGAACAAGAGAGACCCCAGAGAGACCATTGAGACCAGAGAGTAACCAGACAGAGACCAGAAATACCAGACAGAACAGAGAGAACAGAGAGACCAGAGAGACCTGAGAGACCAGAGAGAGACCAGAGACCAGTGCGACACCTTCAGGAGACCTGAGACCTGAGAGAGACCATAGAGGTCAGAGATACCGGAAAGACCAGAGACCAGAAAAACAGGGAGACCATCAGAGAGACCATCGGCAGACCATAATACCGAGAGAGACCAGAGAGAAAGACTAGAGAAAGACCAGAAAGAGACCAGAGAGAAGTCGGAGAAACCAGAGAGAGACTAGAGTGAGCAAGATACTAGAGAGACCAGGGAGATCAGGAACTAGAGAGACCAGAGAGTTCAGAGACCAGAGACCTGAGAGACCAGAGAGACCATTGAGAGTGCAGAGGCCAGAGAGACCAGAGAGTGATCTAGGGCAGGGGTGTCCAAACCAGTCCTCAAGGGCAGCTGTGGCTGCAGGTTTTCTATCGGACCAAGGAGGAGCAGAGCAGAATCCACGCATTTCCTCAAGTGAGTTCAGACTGAACACAAAGATTTGAGGAAATGGGTGGAGTCTGCTCTGCTTCTACTTGGTCTGACAGAAAACCTGCAGCCGCAGCTGCCCTAAAAGACATGGTTTGGACACCCCTGTCCTAGGTGTTTGGACACCCCTAGACAAGGGAGACCAAAAAGAGAGACCAGTGAGAGGCCCAAGAGAGACCAGAAGACCAACATAGAGACCAGAAATAGACCAGAGACAAGAGAGAGACAAGAGATCAATTCTTAAAAAGCATAGTATATTAAGTTTTGAAAATATAATCATATATTCAAATCTTTGTCTGTTGTTCAAGATAATTAATGGTACTGCAGCTCCTCCATTAAAAAAGTTTATTTCACTGAGCTCAGAAATTTCATCTCGAGCCACTCGGTCGACTGTTCGGGGCGAGTGTAGTATTCCTCAGTGTAAAACAGCATTCGGCAGCTCAGCCTTCTCCAGTGTGGCCATCAGACAGTGGAATATGTTGCCAACAGAGCTGACCACATGTGTACATTTTAACAATTTTTCACACCAGGCCAAAAAATGGCTTCTTTTAAAACAAACCTGTTCCCATAAAGTACTGTAAATTGGTTTCATTTTAATGCTGTTTAGGGGGAAATGTATTTTTAACATGTGTAATTTTCTAAAACTTTGTATGCTGACATCAGTCTGCCCAGGGACTGCAGGTGGAAATTAGCACAAGTGCTACAACCTGGTACAATGCATCTCTCCTTTCTGAGGTTAATGTATATTGTACACTGTCCCTGTTCAAATAAATAAATAAATGAAAATGAAATGAAATGAGAACCAAGACCGGAAAGAGACCAGAGAGACCAGGGAGACAAGCGATAGAGACCAAAGAGATCAGAGGGCCGTGAAGACCTCGTACCATAGAGAGCTCGGACTGTAGTGCTATCTCCAGCGCCTGCAGAGTTCTCTTCAGCTCCGTGATCTCGGACTTGGTGGTCTGCATCTCCTGAGTCTGGTCCTCGACCGCACGGCTCAAGTCCTCAGTCTGAGGAGGAAGACCATAGACTTTAAAACACGTCTTTAGAGCTTCTTTAGAGTGTTTTTAGAGCAACACAGTGAGCGCGACTCCCTTAGCAGAAGGGTTTGGGTTTTAGTTCCCACCTCCAGACAGGGTTCTGGTTCTCCCTACCACTAAAATGATATACAGTCGCCCCTCTCTCTAGGGTCAGGACTGCCCTGAACCAGAGATTCAGTCGGAGGTTCCTGTTTAATATAGACGGAGCATTTGGTTCACAGAGCAGCTGTGAGAACACATCACTCCTGTGCTGAAGTGACCATTCTTCTCATGACACTTGTTCTATTTAATGTTCTAAATGTTCTAAACTTTGGACAAACCTTGTTCTGGTACCATCCCTCCAATTCTTTGCGGTTCTTAGCAGCAACAGCCTCGTAGTGTTCTCGGATCTCCTCCATGATTTTGCTGAGGTCTTGTTGAGGAGCAGCGTCCACCTCGACGTTCACCTGACCACTCATCTGGGAGCGCATGCCCAGAAGATCCTGGGGACACACGCAATAAGGTTAGATTCATGCATCTCACCGACAAAGGCAATCAGGTTACATTTGTGCAGACACAGACAATGGTCCACACCCCCTCCTCTCCCCTCCCCCCTCACCTCCTCATGGTTCTTCTTGAGGAAGATGAGTTCCTCCTTCAGTCCTTCAATCTGCATCTCCAGGTCTGAGCGTGTCATGGTGAGCTCGTCCAGGACCCTCTTTAACCCTGCGATGTCGGCCTCCACAGACTGACGCATGTTCAGCTCGTTCTCGTACCTGTGGGAGGGCAGCAGGGTCAGAGGATCACTCATCAAGTTTCATGCTGGATCAAAAGATCTCGCCGCTGATCGGAGTGAGAGTGGGATGAATCTGTTGTCTTAAAATGTGGATTTACAGAAAACCAATGGATTACCGTAGAAAGTTTGATTAGTTAGAGAAACGAAAATCAAGCAGTTTGTGTCAACACACTGTCTGAGGGGAAATCTCCTTCCCATGTGTATTTAGGGTGCAGAACCGCGGATGGGCTCTAATCCATGTGGAGACGGGTTTAAGCACCAAGACCCTCCACAGAATCACATATCCATGAAACAGACCTGAGCCCTTACAAAATTACAGTGAGAGTCAGACCGGTCACTCACTTTGTCCTGAAGTCATCAGCCGCCAGTTTGGCGTTGTCCACGGCAAGATAAAAACCAGCATTCACCATTGTGGCCTCCAGGATCTGAGCACAGCGAAGCCAACATATGAGCTGTTTGAACTACACCATAGAAGACAACAGAAGAGCTGTACCTGGCCCTGCAGTTCCGCGATTCTCTGGTAGTAGGCGCTGTAGTCCCGGGCCGAGGGGGAGCTCTTCATGTCTAAAAAGCCGCGGATCTTTGCCTCCAGCTCGGCATTTGTCGCCTCTAGGAGCCGCACCTTCTCTAGGTACGTGGCTAATCGGTCGTTCAGGTTCTGCATTGTCGCCTTCTCATTGGCTGAAACGTCCATATCCCCGCCTCCGAAACCTCCCCCTGTGCCGAAAGCCCCACCCCCTGCGCCAAAAGCCCCTCCTCCCAATCCCCCACCGTAACTGCCTCCACCCCCTCCGGCCTGAACACAGAAACATGACAGAGATTAAAAGACAAATGGGTCTAGAGCCTCAGTCCTGAACCTACAGCTTCAGTCCTGAACCTACAGCTTCAGTCCTGAACCTACAGCTTCAGTCCTGAACCTACAGCTTCAGTCCTGAACCTACAGCTTCGGTCCTGAACCTACAGCTTCAGTCCTGAACCTACAGCTTCGGTCCTGAACCTACAGCTTCAGTCCTTGATCTAAGTCCTCAGTCCTGGATCTAAGGCCTCAGTCCTGGATCTAGAGCCTCAGTCCTGGATCTAGAGCCTCAGTCCTGGATCTACAGCCATAGTCCTGTGGAACCCTGTTGGGACATGTACTGATGAGGCTGAGTCTGTATGGTTCTCACCGAGTACAGGGAAGACCCGCTGGAGATGCGGACCTGACTTCCTCCTGCTCCTCCGAACATGGAACTGCTGCCAAAGCCTCTACCACCCCCTACAGACCTGCAGCAGAAACACACGCACTGTGGATCAGGTGCATGACCAGGGTCGAGATTGGGACCAGGACAGGGACCTGGACCAAGACCAGGACCAAGTTATCCAACCAGGACCAGGTAAAAGATAGACGAATACAAGAGTATAGTCTTTCACATAATATGACTGTATTATTGTGACACAGGGAGAACATGCAAATTTCATCAAGCTGGGGTACGTAGCTTTAATCTCATAAATAACACATGCTTAAAGCTAAATATTTATGAGACTTAAATTACGTACTCCACGCAACTTAAGTCTCATAAATATTTAGTCTCATAAGTGACACATGTAGTTTGGACAGAATGAGTCTTAAAGTAAAATGTCTCTTAAATTTTTCTGTCTGAAACACTGATCTAAAGATGTGACAGAGGCAAACATAAATTATGTGAAAACTAGTGAAGAAAATCTTTTATTCGAGCCAGGAACTAGAGTCATGGATTCATTGCAGAGTTCTATCGTTCTGGTCTGAATGTTACGTATCCCAGCTTTAAAGGTAAGCATCCCACCTTTAAAGTTACGTAGCCCAGCTTTAAAGGTAAGTATCCCACCTTTAAAGTTACGTAGCCCAGCTTTAAAGGTAAGCATCCCACCTTTAAAGTTACGTAGCCCAGCTTTAAAGGTAAGTATCCCACGTTTAAAGTTACGTATCCCAGCTTTAAAGGTAAGCATCCCACCTTTAAAGTTACGTAGCCCAGCTTTAAAGGTAAGTATCCCACCTTTAAAGTTACGTAGCCCAACTTTAAAGGTAAGTATCCCACCTTTAAAGTTACGTAGCCCAGATTTAAGCCATAAATAATAAAGAGGTATTCACCTGCTGCTGTATCCCATCACACTTGTCATTTTGCCGACTGTGGGTCTTGGTCTGGTCTCAGTGTCTTCTCGGTCTCAGTCTCGGTCTTGGCTCCAGCCCGCTCTCAGCCTGAGGAGTGAAGTACCCTCAGAACCCCGTCCTCAGCTTTTATCCTGTCTCGGGGCGGGTGCGGCAGGGGTAATTATTTACTGAGCCACGCCTTGCGGTCTGCGGTCCTTGATGGTTTTCTCTGATGGTTTTCCCTGATGCCCTGAGGCCTCACGTCAAACCCAATGTGTCAACTGCACAAAGGGCCGGAGCAGCGTGTGAACCCAGAGCTCCCTGACACCAGAGGATTAGCATCAGTACAGGTGTTTGATGAGCCATGCCAAAGATCAACTGCCACATGTGAGAAAATGCTCTTAGATATGCGGCAAATGGAGCTTCCCCTGTTGCCTAACCATTAAAGTCAGGTACCCCAGCTTTAAAGTCACCAACCCCAGCTTTAAAGTCAGGTACCCCAGCTTTAAAGTCATATACCCTTGCATTAAAGTCCCCAACCCTAGCTTTAAAGTCACCAACCCCAGCTTTAAAGTTACTAACCCCGTCTTTAAAGTCAGGTACCCCAGCTTTAAAGTCACCAACCCCAGCTTTGAAGTCAGGTACCCCAGCTTTAAAGTCTGGCCAGAGACCCGGGGCAGACATCTTGGAGACATGTCCAAAATGTAACCTTTTTTGAATTATATCATTTTTTGCCCCGGCCTTATCAGCACAAACCAGGTTTTAGGGGAAAAAACTGTGGGGTACCTCAGGATCATTCAGCACTGGGGTGATATGCTCCCGGTGTCCCTGTGAGCCGCCTGTGGACATAATCTTTCTCTCCTGACCACAGCCGCCCCATGGACAGCGCTCCTCGCAGTCTCAGATCTGACTGGTCTCAGACCTGACTGGTCTCAGACCTGACTGGTCTCAGACCTGACTGGTCTCAGACGGTCACGGTGACATGAAGGTGCCTCGTGTTGGGTCTTGTCCGCCTCGGGCCAAAAGCCGGGCGTCAATCCTGAAGCACATAAATGTTTTCTCAGTGTCGCTCCGTCACATTAAAAACAGATCACAGATGTTACTGAACGTGTTCACACAGAACTACAATAAAAACATCTGTAATTAGAAATATTATAAAAGATCTTTGATCTGCAGCCAAACACACACACACACACACATTGCATCATACACAGAGATAGACACACACACACAAATACAGAGAGAGACACACACAAACACACACACACACTGACACGCCCACTCTTTCATAAGATTTTATGTCTTTATTTACTCGATTCCACATAAACTCGGGACACGCTCAGACCGCCATCGTCTCTGTGGAAACAGCCCTTTGGCGATGGCGCCGCACGGCTCTGAAACAGCTCATTGCTCTGTTCACAGCTCATTGCTCAAAGTAAAAATGGATTCTCTCTAACTTGGTCTGTGGTCTGAGCGGAGGCTGCAGGACCTGTGATGGTTCAGAGGGGCAGAGCTCAGAGTGGCCGTCCACCTGAACAGATGGAAGAAGGAGAGGACTGGTCAGGAAGGAACCCCAGACTCTGGAGGGTCTGTGCATGGGTCGTTCTCTGCACAAATCTGGCCTTTATGGACGAGCGGCAAGAAGAAAGCCATTGTTCTTTGGTCAGATGAGACAAAACCTTTTAGCCCAAACACTTCAATGAACAATTTTAAATAAAATCTTTATGACAAAATGTGCAAAAGTTCAAAAGTTGCTGCTTGGCCCGGGCAGCACAGAGCGGGACAGGAGCAGACTGAACAAGCTGGTCAAGGAGGGCCAGCCCCTGGACTCTGTGGAGGAGGTGAGGGACAGGAGGCCCCTGGACTCTGTGGAGGAGGTGAGGGACAGGAGGCCCCTGGACTCTGTGGAGGAGGTGAGGGACAGGAGGCCCCTGGACTCTGTGGAGGAGGTGAGGGACAGGAGGCCCCTGGACTCTGTGAAGGAGGTGAGGGACAGGAGGCCCCTGGACTCTGTGGAGGAGGTGAGGGACAGGAGGCCCCTGGACTCTGGAGGAGGTGAGGGACAGGAGGTGCTGGTCAAAGTCACCTCCATCATGAACAACACCTCCCACTGCACAGGACTGAGGAGGAGCTGAGGAGCTCCTTCAGTGTAAGAAGGAGCACTCATCCCCACCGCTGTCAGACTGTACAATAAGTCACTTTAAGTCACTTGCATTAGGACTGAAAAACCTGCACTACTATTGACACTGTTTGTTGATTGCCACTTTTGAATTGTCATTTTTTATTGTACATAAAATATCCTAAATTGAACACGTTTGCACATTTGAGTGTTGCCAGATGTGACATGTACATTTCTCTTGTGTGAGATCAATAAATACAATTACAATACAATTTATTCTTGTATAGCCCTAGGTCACAACAGAAGTCATCTCAGAGGACTTAACAAAACCATTGAAATCACCAACACAGGTCAGAGAATCAACAGTTAAAACACATGAAGAATATAAAGCACACACAGAATGTTGTAGAATGCTAAAGTGTCCTGATCATCACCGATCCTTTCTGTTAGACACTAACTGTCCAACAAGACCCTCCTGCATCCACAAGGAAAAACTCTTAAAAAACCCAGTGGGAAAAAGTGAGAAACCTTGGGGAGAACTAGGGAAACCCACAGGGAGGGAGACCCATATGAGAAAGGGATCCGCTCCTCCGGACGGACAGGCTAATGATCCAGGACCTAAGCTAGCTACAGGACGTCGTGGACCAGTGGCCGCTGAACGTGGACAGGTCCGGTGCAGGACCAAAGCACTCCCAGGCGGGTCGGGCGGGGCAGTCCGCAGGTGTAGATGGAGGAGGCCAGGCTCAGAGATCCCGTCATCGTACCATGAAACAGACAATGGGACAACGGGTGAATAGCAATGAACAAACTACAGTCAAAATCCTAAAAATGCTAAACAGGTAAAGTAGGAAGGAGGAGAGGATAGTGCTCAAGTTACCATACTTCTCCCAGCAAACTGACTCCCTATGCAGCTTGACTGACAGTCTGAGGAGTTTAGCCTTCCCTGAGTCTTACCTTCCGAGCCATATGCTAAACTAAAGAGGACTGTTTTAAACCTAGCCTTGAATAAAGAGAGCGTATCTGAAAGGAGGTGAGACAGCAGCAGCAGCCACGGCTAGGCTAGCCCAGGTTACAGCACCAAGATTCATGGATTGCACACCAGGTGTGCAAACCGATCCAGGCAAACCTAATTATATATTATATATCATATACATCACATATACCATACATACCATATATATCATATGTAATACACAACATAGCATAATATATAACATAATATACAACATAACACAATACAAAACATAATACATATATTGTATAATATATAACATAATACAGCATATATATATATAATATATACACCATATATTATATATTACTATTACTATTACTAATTATATGCTAAATTAAAGTAGAGTGCTTTAAGCCTGGCCTTGAATGTGGAGACCGTATCTGCTTCCTTAACATAAATGAAGCTGATTCCACAGTAAAGGAGCTTGGAGCTAAATGCTCTGCCGCCAACAGTGATTTTTGAGACCTTAGGAACCACCAGACGTCTGGCGTTTTGTGAGCGCAACGCTCGACTTGGTTGATACGACACTAACGTGTCTTGGAGATAAGAAGGAGCCAAGCCCTTTATGGCTTTGTATGTTAAGAGAAGGATTTTAAACTTTATTCTGTACTCCACAGGGAGCCAGTGGAGTGATTTTAACACCGGAGTTATGTGCTCCCTCCTTTTGGTACCTGTTAAGATCCTAGCTGCTGTATTCTGAACGAGTTGGAAGCTCTTCAAAGAGGCTTTAGGGCACGCTGCCAGTAAAGCGTTACAGTACTCGAGCCTTGAGGTGACAAACGCGTGAATACGTTTTTCCGCGTCACTTTTAGGAAGGAAATTCCTAATTTTAGCGATGTTCCGTAAGTGGAAGTACGCCGTTTTAGTTGCTTGGCTTATATAAGCCTTGAAGGAGAGTTCTTGGTCAAAAATGACTCCAAGATTCCTCACAGTGTTACTAGGTATAATACTGACATTATCAGAGTGATTATCTGGTTAGTGAGGGAGTCACGCAGGCGCTTCGGACCGAGTAGGATCACTTCTGTCTTCTCCGGGTTGAGAAGTAGGAAGTTAAGAGTCATCCACATTTTAAGGTCCTTTATGCAGGCACTGAGCTTTTCTAGCTGATCTGTCTGATTTGGCTTCATCGACAGATAAAGCTGTGTGTCATCTGCATAGCAGTGGAAATTAATTCCATGCTTTTTAATAATGTTTCCCAGTGGCAGCATGTAGAGAGTGAAAAGAATCGGTCCGAGTACCGAACCCTGCGGCACACCGAATTCTACTCCAGAATAAGGCGACGAGTTCTGATTTACGTTGACGAAGTGATACCGATCTGATAACTAGGATTTAAACCAGCCAAGGGCTGTTCCTCTAAGACCTATATCACATTCTAGCCTCTGCAGTAGAATGCTGTGGTCTATTGTGTCAAATGCAGCACTAAGGTCCAGTAGGACCAGCACTGACACTTGTCCATTATCAGCAGCTAGTAGTAAGTCATTTGTGACTTTGACTAGTGCCGTTTCAGTGCTATGATGAGCTCTGAATCCAGATTGAAAGATAATAGTATAATAATAAAATAAAATAATAAAGTCTATCTTATCTGCAAGCTGTTGCACGGCACTGTATTTAGCAGCTGTTTAGTACCTCTGAGGTACCCCACAGGGACACGTGTGTGTGTGTGTTTGTGTGTGTGTGTGTGGGTGTGGGGGTGTGTGTGTGGGTGTGGGTGTTTGTGTGTGGGTGTGGGGGTGTGTGTGGGTGTGCGTGTGTGTGTATTTGTGCGGGTGTGTGTGTCTGTGTATGTTACTATTGCCAGAAACAATTACAAACTGAATTGCCCTGCAGGGATTTACAAAGTTAATAACATTTTTAGATTCTGAAGTAAACATGTACACACGCAC